TACTGCTGTTACTGTTGCTACTGCTGTTGCTAGAAGTACTATTACTTGTTACTCGGAGATATCTCGCATTTTCGAGGTGGCAGCAAGTCTGGCGCTTAGCTCATCGGTGAATTTAGCATTTCTCTCTCTCTCTCTCTCTCTCTCTCTCTCTCTCTTTTTCTTTTTATCTCTTATTTCATCTATCTTTCTCGTGATTCTTGCGAAAACCAAACTCTAACACCGAAAGTCACGATTTCTTATTTTGTTTAAAGAGAGAGAGAAAGAGAGAAAGAGAAAGAGAAAGAGAAAGAAAAAGAGAAAGAGAAAGAGAGAGAGGAAGAAAGAGAGAAAGAGCGAGAGGGAGAGAGAGAGAGAGGGAGAGAGGGAGAGAGTACCTGCGAAAAAAATAATCATTGATGATACTACTATGAAAGAATTTTATTTTCATTTCGTTTACGGAATAAAAATATGTATATTAATTTTGCTATGGTCCAAATAGTAATTGTTATAATAATGATGTAACTCTTCTTCAAAATAAACTAGTTTCGAACACAATTTTTTCCCCTACTTTTCATGATGACAATTATGTATATGTATTTTCTCTTTCGATCGATTTTTCATTGGAAAATTTGCGTTTGTGATTTATATTATGAGCGTTTATTCATATTGTGATTAGAAATTAATGATACGGAACAAAGAGCTTTTTTGGATAGTAGTTGCAAAAAAAGACTATTTCGAATATTTTCATTTTTTTTCTCTCTCTCTCTCTCTCTCCCTCTCTCCCCCCATTCTCTCTCTCTCCCTCTCTCCCCCCATTCTCTCTCTCTCTCTGTCGAAACAAGAAGAGAGACGTTGCGTACTTCTTTCTCGCTCTCTCTTTTTTTCTTTCGTTGTTTTTTCGCACGGAAGTTTACGGTATAAGTCGAGCCGAAGATCGTTTATTATTCTTGCTGTCGCAGCTTTTCGCATCGAAGATCGGCTTAGCTCATCGGTGAATTTAGCATGACTTCTGCTCCCGTCATCGGTCGAAAAAGTGTGTATCCTTCGTGATGCGTGCGCGCGTACACGAGTTCGAACAGTCGATAACCTCTTAAGAATCATCCATTCGTTGTTTGCTTTCTTTTTTACCCGCAAGATTTAACCTTTGGGGATGATGTACGATCTTTTCTTTTCTCTCTCGTCTCATGTGCGAGATACGTGCTAAATAAATATTATGTATATGTATATGACAACTGTATTCTCTAACAAAATATATTGGTGTGTGTGTATATATATACATACACTTCATGGTCATAAAATAGAATGTTCAAAGAACATTTTCTTTTCATTTAGTTGTTTAATGTTGCAAGACGTATTTTACATTACAATCAGATATATAATAAATATTAATATAAATAACGCGTAAGAATGTTATGAGGAAAATATAGAAATATCTCCGTTTAAAATGGCCTAAAACATTGAATTTTAAACAAATCATCATCAACATCTATTTTTTATAACTTTGTGTCAGATTAAAAGATATATGAGTATTCATTGTAATATGTTTTACATTAGACTTTATTTTTATTAGGGATATACTTTTTTAAAAAAATGTCAGAGAAAACGTAATCATAAAAATATTTAAAATAAAATCTGCAGGTCAATCATTGACGACCTTCATGATATTAAACGCGTTAAAACATAATAAAGAATACGGAACAGGAAGTTGGAGATTTATTGGTGAGTTCGCCGAAAACGCGGTCGAAGTATAACGATGATGATGGAGAAACCAAAAAGAGAAAGAGAAAGACATTGGAAACGGTCATCGGCTTCTTCGTTGGCTCCGTTCTCTTGATGTTCGTGAGCATGCGCGTCACAAAATTCGTTCTTTGGCAAACGAAAGGAAAATCGGAAATGAGATCGCGCGCATCGCGTAGCTTGGATATGTATGTATATGTATATCTGTATGTATTCTCTTCACTTGTGGTAGTAACAAGAGCGTGTAGTGCGCAAATTCTGGCCGACTATTCGCGACGTCATCTTCGACGTGAGTCATTCCCTATGAATAGATCCCCACCTTTTGCCTCGACTGTTGCGCGCATATACGTCGCCACGATGACTTTAAGCACCTCTCGCCTTTTTTTGTTTCATCTCCCTTCTCTCTATCTTCATTTCTCTCTCTCTCTCTCTCTCTCTCTCTCTCTCTCTCTCTATCTTCATTTCTCTCTCTCTCTCTCTCTCTCTATCTTCATTTCTCTCTCTCTCTCTCTCTCTTTATTCTTCGCTGAACTTCGCATATCAGTCAATCATATGACAAGAATTTTCGATCGTCGTGAAATTAATATTCATTTTAGATATATTATATTTTTGTTGCTTTATTATTAATATTTGAAAATAAATTTAAACAATAAGTGAGATAAATAATAATTGGATAATACATAGATTTTGATCAATGATTCACGGTGTATATCTACGAAATAAATGATTCAATGATTTCCAGTATATCTACGGAGTTGGACATATTAATGATTCACGAAGCTATTTATAATGAGATTCGTCAATGATCGAAATTTAAGGATTGATTAAATATTTTGCAGATATGTAAATCATTAGCGAATTATTATTCCTTAGACATTTTATAAAGTGTCGAATCATTTTACTCCCAGATTATTCTGTGAAAAAGATAAAAATGAATTTATTTACGTATAGATTAGCTCTGATAAACGTAAGAATGTACAATTCGTTTCAGTTTCCTTGGCGATATGAACGGATTTTAGTAAAACGACGTCAGCGACAAACGTTGCCATTCTAATATTCTCTTTTCCATGGAAGTATATGTACGTAATAATTCCCACACACAGCTCTGCTATTCTATTTCCTCAAATATCAGGAGTCACAAGTTTTCATCGCTCCTCTCTGTCATAGACTTTTTTATCATAGAAGTGTAAACAGATGCCGTTGGCAATTAACGTTGGATCCATGCTACGAAGTTTATTACTTTCGTTGTTATTATCTCACACGCTGTCTTACTTCGAATGGAAACATTTGGCGCCTCTTATCTAATATTAATGTCAAATACTATTGATCGGCTATTATATGCAAAAAATAATGCTTTTTATCGGTTATGTTCATAATTAAAATCATAATTGAAATACTAAAAATTAAAAAATGTAGGTAATATTAAAATTAAGCAAAAACTAACTAAACAATGAACAATATGTACTATGATAACGAGTTACACAATTTTATATTTTAATAATTATATAAGTTGTATATATGTGCAAATACGAATATAGTTGTAAACAATCATGTGTTAAGCATAATAATTGTCGTTGTACAATTTTCAATATTTATATATTTCACATTTACGCGTTTAATGAATTTGGATTGATATGATTGTTACTAGTTATGATTAAAATCTATTTTTTTCTCTCTATCTCTATATATTATCGAAAGATTATAAAAGAACAATAAGAACAACAATAATAATAATAATAATGAAAAACATACAATATTTCTTAGAAACAATAAACAATTATCAACCTTTTTTAAATCATCAATATCACGTTAATGCGTTGTAAAAATAGATAATTAGACGGTATAATTAGCAAAGAACGTTTAATAAGGAGCAAGATCGATAATAGGAAGGAACCGGTCGTCGATAAGTTTCTCGACTAACGAGATATCCCGTGTCGTGTCGCGCTCTAATTACTTAACATCGAATTAACTGTGTCATCCTAACTGTGTTACAACGAAAGGAAAATAGGATATTCAGGAGAAAATAAATAACGGTTTCGAAATCAATTATTTTCAAGAAAATATTATCACGAAGAAAGAACAAGGGAGGGAATAATAGAAAAGAAAAGAGAGAGAGAAAGAAAAGGATGCGTTTAGTTTAGTACGATACATTCTCGAAATATACTGTGTATGCTAATCGACTATTGGTAGTTAAGAGGATTATGACCTAGTGGTGATACGCAGCTCGTAGGTGACTATCGCGCGTTGTCGTCTTCCCCCCATTCTACTTCTACTTCTCTTGCTCTTCTTCCTACTCCCACGTTTCCTTCAACATTTTCCATTCAGCTTCGTGCTTACGTTTACGCAATATCGAGCGAGTTGAATTTCATTTAAAAGTCCACACTCCGAAATCACCGACTGGAATAGTCTACTCTTCTATTAAATTATTCTTTTTTATTTTTATTTTTTTTCTCACACAATTAAAAAACTTAATATATTTAACTGGTGTTCTCCTCCTAGTTTTATCGTAACGGAAATACTTTTATGTATGCAAATGTTTTTTATACATATATCCTAATATATGAACTTCTCGGTTAATATGTAATTAAATAATTGAAACGGTTGTGAATGCGCGCATTGCCTCGACGAAATTGTCTCAAAACAAAAGTTTTATCTTGGCAGCATTCTCAATACGAACGAAAATGGCGCATGAAAAGGAAGATGAAAAAAGAACGTGAGAAAATTTGCACACGTTAGAAAATACGGGGGCGGGCAGGAATATCATGCCACTGGCATCATCGTTATTTCGGAAAGTTCGAAAATGGAGCGTGGAAATTTTCATGTAAATAACGAACATTCGGCTACTATTTGTTTGCTCATTCGGTCTTTCTCGGTAAACTTCGAGAAGGACAAAACAATTATTGTTTGTAGTTTTCCCTATCTGTTTTCTAGAAAGATTTTCAGTTAAAATTATCCGTCGACGATGTACATATATATGCTCGTATAAAATCGAGATAAAGACCAAGGTCAATGCGAGCACGAAGCTCGTAATCACGGAACATTCCTCCCTAAGAATCTATTATCTCTACACGATGTGCGAGAGTCATCGTTCCTAAGTATTCTCCGCTTACATTCGATTTGAAAATCGTAAGCTAATATAGTCATTATTGTCCAATGATCTATAATTGCAAATGTTGAAAATATTTGAAAGACTTGAAAATCTTGTTTGGTACATAATAGTTATTAATGATAATGAAATAGAATAACTCGAGTACGTCTCGATAAGAGAGAAGTTGGATACTTACCGAGAAGTAAGGCGGGTTCGCGATTGTCTTCAACGAGAGCAGCTAATACCAAAAATAAAGGATGTTGAACGGGAAGGTATTCAAGCTCGGCGGTGCAATCGTCGTAAACGATGACTTCTCTATACTGTTTTCTTCTAAGGATTTCTTTGCCTTCTCTAGCAGTGGCGAGGTCAGCCAGAGTAGCTTTGCCCAATTGCAAACGTCGTCTATTGAATCGATCGGAACAGTTTACGTTGATAGCTCCTCTGATGTGATTCACGTTGTAGAGTATGAATGGCCGACAATCGAGGAGTACAGGACCGCTCGTTGAATGTTCTAAGATTCTTTGAGCTAATTCGGTCGGTGTTATCGTACGCGTTCTTTGGAGAACCAATTGTTTTTGGAGACTGTTGCTCTCGGAGCAAGGACTTGCGGGAAGGCTAACCGTCTCCAGCTTGCAACGTTTCGAAGCTGAGAGCGGATGAAGTTGATGTTGATGGTAGTGATGATAATGATGATGATGATAGTGGTGATGATGATAGTGACGATGTACGTCGCTCGTTATAGTTTCGTTATCGATGCTACCGGTGCCACTGCTACTGCTACCACTGCTAATGCTATTGCAGTTTATACCGCTGCTACTGGTGCTGCTGGTGCTGCTAATGCTACTGGCAATGTCGGTTATTCCGCTAACGTCGGTGATGCAACTGTCGACGCTGCTGGTAGTTGAGGGACTAGGCGATACGGGCGACGTCGGCGACGAGAGGAAGCATGAAGACGTCGCCGGCGGACCTGGCTCGCTCAAACTACGATTCAGAACGAGTTTGAGGTTGTCCCGCGGCCGTCCGGCCGAGACCGGCTCGCAACACACTAAAGTCGACATCGATATTGTTGCCTTTTTTCTCTCTTTTTCTTCTTCTTCTTTTTCACCACCTTTTATTCCTCGTTTCTTCTGTTCTCGTTGTTGATACCGACGATCAAGAGGAAGTTCGAGTTGTTTTTGACGTTGCCGATGATGTTGTCGACCAATTTCTGGTACAGTTACATCGAGACTTCTTCCCGAAGACAATACTGAAATACCAATGGAGTTTATCGTTAGATTGTTCGAATGAATGTATTATTATTAATCTTATTTATGCCGGGGCAAGAACAACTGTTATTCGAGGTAGATCGGACATATCTTTCGCTTTTTGAAGAACAGGTGTAAGTTTATATTTTTTGAAAGCACAAGTTGACGGGAGGTTTGCGTGAGTGTCCGTAACAACGTGATAGAAAACAAAGATAAGTTTCTTGTCAAAATGTTGCGATCTACCTTCAAGTCGATATGAATTGGCAAAAAGTAAATATTTTTCTTTTTTCAAATATTATTTACCTACGCATGAGCTCTTTTCTCTCTTTCTCTCTATGTAGAAAAAATTCAAACACACGTTCATTTGAAATACACGTACATACATATATATGCAAATATCTCAACGGCTATTGAGTCGAGCTTCCACACAGCTAATCATTTATATGGTTTCCTCGTTCGTTTTCTAGTAGTAACGTAATCGCGTATACTAGGGAGGATATTCGACGCATAGATATTGACTACTATACAGAGTGGACGATGGATTAGTCACTTAGAGTGTCTCTCGTAGAAGTTTTGTTCCGTCGAATATTAAAATGCTTCACGTATCGATGTACGTAGATATGTAACTACATATATATATACATGATGTTAAGATGTATTACAGCTTCTCTCTATTGTTCTGAACAATCGAAGTGAATAATAATACTCGATAAAAATTATAACAAAATCGTTAACATTTGAGGACCATATTGTTGACTTGAATCTTTCTGAAAAATGTTTTAACTTAGATAGAAAAGAACGGACTTGTAATAATACTATTTCGTTTAGAGTGATTAAATATCATCTTTCGAATAATGAACAATATCCTGAAAACAACATTTTCAGTATATATGCCATCGTTTGTTCTCGCATGGGTCATGGTATTATCTGGGAAAAAAATTTATAACGATCCTCAGTAGCATGCACTGACCTTTAATCTCATTCTCGAGAGTGACAGTTTGATTATTAACATATTTAAAGTTTTCTCAAATAAGAATGACGACGAATCTCTTTCTCGAGATAATTAATATCCGTAATAATTCATTATAAAATTATTAATAACTTATAGTCTTCTATATTCTTTGAAGTCGTATGTCTGATCTCACCCAGCACAGTAATAATTCAAAGTAGCTTCAATTTTTATCTTTTTAACTAAAATAAAATTATTATTTTTAAATATATAAAAGGAGCGTTAAAAAGAAGTAATAATATTCGTATAAATAAATATATTTTTTTTACTCAAACGTCCATTGTATTGTTCAATAGTAAATAATTTCAAATAGTATGTTATTTATATATTTGAAGCAACTACGACTACACAAAAGGTTAATTATAATTAACGCTAAGAAATAACGATAATTTTAATCAATGATGAAGATGTCTGATTAAGATGAAAGAAAGATAAACGAACGATCGAAAGGATTGTTATGAATGGATCAACCGTGAATCACAAATTTCGATATATATAATATATATAGCGTACGCCATACGGTTAAAGATAAACGTAAGTAATACGCCTGGATAAAAAATTTTTATAGGCCTTATCTTTATTTCCTCTTTGCAATAAAAGCATCGGAATAGTAGACATCGTGGATGCTTCTTTTATATTTATTTTAAGCTTTCTCCGTCGAAAGCGAACGATAACTGCCAGAATTTCAATGTCTTTTTATAGTTTCCCCATTCATCTCATTTGTTTTTCCAGTATAGTTTTATTGTTACAACGGTTGAGTATCATACATACTCAAAATTAGAATATAAAAGAATTAATAAATTACGATTTTATTAAATATTTTTTCGAAATTATCTGATTGTGATTATTTTTGAAAAAATGCATAAAATTTAAAAGAATATCATAAAGTAAAATATAATTTAAAACCAATTTAACGTTGACCATAATCAAATATTTTTAATCAAAATAAATTATCCATTGGAACTATTTAAGTTTTACATTTACATCGGTTGTTTTGAAATATTCAATAAAATGTTGTCTTTCGGTATGAATCGGAAAAAAACTTGTTAGTTATCTACAGGTAATAAATAGAAGATACGGTAAGAGCTCGATACCACGGCGGTTAGACGATTCTAATGCGCTTGGCTCGCATCTACGAGTTGCTTTCACTCTCGCTAAGACGACGGTGCCAGTCGATTATTATGCAATGCAAGCCACCGCCATTATTATAGGTCGTTTATGAACGACATCTTCCAAGGTTAATAAAGTCAATCGTTCTCTCTGATACCAGTTAATCGCGTCTCTTTCGAAAATGATTATATATGTCTCTCTGTGTGTGTATATATACACACATATGTAAATTTGACATTTTTACTTGTACACACAAAGCTTATCATTAATAAAAATATAATACCTAAAAGTTAACTTAAAGTTAAGTATATTACATTACTACGTATGCAGAGGATTGTGTTGAATGTGGAAATCAAAGTTTTTATGAAGACGATGTTAGACGCCATCAGCATCTATCATTCTAAAAATTACATTTAATCTTTATGACTATAGCTCAAGCATAGAACACAATTCTAATTTGGAAGTTGGAATACGACCAACGTCTTCGATGTTACGAAAGAACCACCGTATGCCACGATGTCCTGATTTAGAAATTACGTGATGTACTGTGAGATTTGTTCGAAGCTTTCGTTATATCTTAACCACAAAGAAAAACTGTAAAGATTCGAATCAATTAAACTTAAAAATTAAAAGTTATCAAATTATCTAAAGCTTTTTCACGAAGAAGATGAATTAAAATCAAAATAGTAAGTAGTTTTGGATTCATAAAATTTCATTTGAGTTACAACGTCAAAGGAACGTTTTATCAGGATTTACCGTTTTATCGAACAACAAATAAATTAATATTGATAAATGATAATAGTTAATGCATAGATGATAAAAGTTTTCGAGGCAGGGGGAGGAAAGAGAGGGAGAGAGAGAAAGAGAGAGTGAGAGAGGGAGAGAGAGAGAGAGAGAGAGAGAGAGAGAGAATGGAGAAAGTATCAAAAAGTAGCATTCGTGCTTTTCGACTTTTATTTGATCGATCTGTTTTCCCATTTTTTCAGGATTACAGATGATTTCCATGGCCATATTCGAGCGCGCTCGTCAATAATAGCAATACATTTCTTGGGGGTTAAGAACCTGTTCCTTCAATAGTTTCGCGCGGAAATGTTAAAGGAATCTTTTCGTGGGGACTCAATGACCTCGTGGTGACCGGAGGAAACGTTTGCTTTTGTGTCAATGCCGTGCCAACGGACTTGATACTATTCGTTCAAACTATGACGACGACGACGAATACGATGATGACGACGAATACGACGACGACGACGAGGATGGAGGATGGAGGATCGGGGATCGCGTAGTGACTCAGTTAACTAATATTAGAAGGTAAGGAGGCTGCTCCCTGGCCCGGTCTGTCTCTATTTCACCATCTTTCTCTAAAGTGCTGCATACTCTTTCTCTCTCTTTCACACACACACACACACACACACACACACACCGCGCGCGCGCGCGCGTACACACACTTATTCTGAATATAAGTAAACTTTCTTTCTCTTTTCAACTGAGAAGTTTCGATGCTAGCGCCACCGAGACATGCGGTTTCTCTTCGACTCGGCCGACTACGGGAGTCTTCGGCTGGTACGTTCTTTTCGAATGAGTAAACACAGTGGAATTCGACGCTTCAAGCGGACCTCGGCGCACAAGCTGACCGGGCTCAGCCTGCAGACAGGTGTAGCGCCAGCACCTGCTGTTGTTGTTGCTGCTGCTACTACTGCTGCTGCTGCCAGAACCTTCGTCGACGCAAGGAGACGATATTCTCACCTTTTTAACACCCTTATAAAATTTCTCGAAGAATTCGTGATGATCTTATCATTTAAACGATTAATAATTTATTTAACGTTCATTATAACAACGAAGAAACGAAATATTTATTGTGTTAACATCTTCAATGTGAAAGATTGAAATTTCTTATAAATCGAAAAATTGAGATAAGTACTGTTTTGAAATGTAATATTTCGAGAAAGTTTGTCTCGAAATTTCGATGCATTTAATCAATCGATCTGTCGATCGATTTGTAGATCGATCGTTCGATCGAATGAAAATTTCGATTCTTAAAACGTAATATTCTTTAGTTTCTTCACAATCGTGTAACAAGTATTCAGGTGTAACTATCCTGAAACGAGTCTTATTTTTCTTTTATATATTATGTCGATGTATACATTGTATTTACATTTCCCGATTGTAAAGGGGAAGTGCCAACTTCAAGAGAATGAATATAATTTACCGGCATTTCTGGAATTCCTAGATTTAGTAGGCTCAATCGTGATAAAAATAAAGTTTCAAAAGTAACACCATATTTGTTGCAAATAAATTCGATGAGTAATATGTAGAAATCGTTCGATACTTTATAATAGAAATATCTGAGGAATATTTAAAATTTAGGTAACGATCGAATAATCGGGTGATAATAAAAATTCGCGGGCTTTCCTTCAGTAAACGCGGCAATTTTTAAATTGATCGAATCGTTGTTCCTGACCTATAAAAAGATAAGGGAGATGGAAAGAAAGTTGAAATATTAGCGAAAAAAGGAATGAAGGAAGAGAGAAATAAATAAAGAAAGAAAGTGAAAGACCGAGTGAGAGAGAAGGTGGCTAGAAAGGGTCAGAAACCGTCGCAGTTCGTCGGAGCCACCTACCTTTTCCCGATTCGTTGAACCGGTTCGCCTTTACGACGAGACGGGTAACCGCCTTGCAAGGGGTCGCTGACGCAGAGCCTTCGTTAAGCTCGATTCACGAGGTTGCACTTTGGCGTTTCGATAAGAGAGCTTTTTGCCTGTACGCGTAATCCACGTGCGATCAGCGAAGCACACCGTATGAGAGAGAGAGAGAGAGAGAGAGAGAGAGAGAGAGAGAGAGAGAGAAAAAAGAGAGAGAGATAAGGAGAAAGAAAAAGATGGAGAGATAAGAAACGAAAGGTAAGAACGAGAAGGACAGAAAAGAAAAAGAAGTAAGAACGATCGATAAGAATAATAAGGAAAAGGAAGATCGAGGAGAAGTAGGAAATGGATAATAAGAGAGAGGGGGGGGGGGGAAGGAAAGGAAAGTAAAAGACCAGAAAAAAGAATTCTTCGTGTTTAAAAAAGAAATGAGGAAGGCGGTAGGAAATCGTTTAGGAATGATTCGGCAGGCGGATCCGCCGGCCCCTGTGCCGATCTTTTCGCGGTAGCATGTTTTTTCGAGCGTAACGGGGAGTCAGGCTCTTCCTCTCTCCCTGTTTTAGGACGACGCGTGCTCCGAAAGTAAATACGTTTAAGAGGAAACGTTCTGTTGCCGAGCCTTCACGGTTGATTGAAAGAGTGAAAGAAAGAAAGAAAGCAAGAATGAAAAAAAGAAAGATAACGCGTCGCTCGACCGGTAGATCCGATCGGTACGGCCGACGAGCTAAGACTGAGGGCCGCCCTCCCTTCTCATCGTGGTTCGCGCTTACCGTCGCGCCGCTGCGGCGGAACGTATAGTCGCGGGACTCTGTTGAGAGGAGAGGAGGACGATGAGGAGGAATACTCGCGGACTCAAGTCACCGGCAAACGCGAACGCTCTTTTTCCAAGGAGCGTACCTAGCCATCTAAAATATGATATTCAACGATCAAATATCCATTGAAAATGAATTATAAAAATCTGACCAATTTAATATATTTTTCAATCTACCTTCCTAATTTGAAAAAATTACTTTTATTACAATCCATGTAAACAAATATGTATATTCAGCAGCGTCCCTTTTCAAACATTTTAAAAGACAGATTTCGAGAGTAACAATGTTTCAACCTCTTTGCGTGTTTTTATTTTGAAAGATGACCCCGTTTTAGCGGTAATTTCAAATGATCTTATTTTCTTCTCGAATGAACAAGCTGCGGTAATAGTTACCTTAAACGTCTATTTCGGATTATAACGATAGATATTGCGAAGGAGTAATCGTGAGTTCGTAAAGGAATTACAATTACAAAGTTAAGATGTGGATATCGTTATTAACCTATGAGATTATTGAACGAAATAAAATTTGCAGATAGGTGGTACGTTTCATCTTTATATATTTACTTCTCGGCTAAGCTGACCATGTGTATTTATTTCATTGGATAGAGCTCTTCGTCGTTGAGAGAGCGTTGATTTAACGTCACGTCATTGAGAGTATAGTGACTCAAAGTGGAACAATACTATATGCTCTACGATGATCCTATCATATCATGATGTAATCTCGTCTTCTTTCTAATACGCGCAGTTCATCTTATCGCTATGATATTAAATTCAAGCGCGGATCGTTTGACGTTGAAAAAAGAAAATAAAAAAGGGAAAAAGAAAACGGTTTAATCGAAGGCAAGCAAAAGTTTTGATAGAAAATTTTTATCTTAAAAATTGTTGAAACAGAACCATCTTGAGAATAGCTACAGCACTGTCGATAGTTGCGCTCGCGCGATCTCAGGCCGCTGCATAAACGTACAAATACAAATATACACACACACACATCATACAACACATATTCATATATATTTGCGATCTCGTAAGTGTTCGTACACATACATACGACGAAACCGAGCGATGAGTCACCTCGAGTCGCTCGTTACACGTCGCATATACTTCGCTGTCGCAGGGTTTCCCTTCTTTATTTTTTTTTTTTTTAATTTGTTTTTTGTCTTATTATAATTTTTAGGGTCATCGATGACAAATTTCATGAAAATAAGAAGAATGCTATCGCGAAAAAGGATTATAGCATATAGTATTTTACTCATGAACGGACAATAATCGATAAATCAAACGTTTGAAAACTTTGTCGACGGTGATTGAAGGTAAAAATAGGTAAAAACTTTTCTTCTGTCGTTATCAAAATCAAGAGGAATAGATAGATACAGTGTCTTATACGGCACTTCGTTTTCTTAAAGTAGAAAGTACGATGTGCTCGGCCGATAAGAGAAAACTTTCTTCCGAGCTATCTTAGAACGTAATCGTTGACATTAAACATTAACGCCGTGAAACCTTTATTCGAAAGCACAATTTAATGAATTTCTTTCTTCTTTTTCTTATTTTTCTTTCTTTTTTCCTTTTATAATAATTTCTTTGAAAAGATTTAATGAGATTTCTTTTAACACGGTACGTCAAAAAAAAAATCGTTTTTAAAAGAAGAAGATGAAGAGGAAGCTAGGTCACTGTTATTTTTTCAGCTGTTCGTAAATACGTCAACGCATACGTATTCTCTCGATTCGTTGATAATCTCTATTCGAAGACAAAAAAACGACCATGCAAAGTTCTTCGCCTGAGCTCCGAAGTATGTACATATATACACATGTACTTCATTTACATAATTCAAAAGGACTCCTTTTAAGAAGCAGTCAGATGGTAAATATACTCGTATGGATATGAATTCAATTAGTTATTTGATTGTCAACTTTTCGCCAAGCATCTGTCTGTACAATTGATAAGAGACGACGACGATCGAAGAGACGTTTTCTTTAGGAATATTTCAAAAAGAATTATAAAAAATGAAAATATTTTATAAAATTTGTATCGTTTTCGAATATCAAGATTATTAGATATATTTGCACTTCCGGTTAAATTTTCCAGAGAATTTCATCGTTTCGACGACGACAATGACGACGACAACGATGATGATAATAATGATGATAATTATATGATAAAAAATCAAGGGGGGGAGGTGGAGTTTTATGTGTGCGTGAGCGAGCACGAGTTTTCGTGCGTGGTCATCTACTCTGTGGCCAAAGATAGACTCTGACATCATACACGCGAGCATCGCTCGGCCCGAAGGAGCGATAAACAGAGGAGTGCGAGCGCGCAACATACGGCTCTGTCTTTCTGTGTGTGTGTGTGTCAGTACACGAAAGGTTTATACCGCCTGTTAGAACTGTCTCAATTGACATCTTGCAATGCACCAACCGACATAGCTGATCTTAACGGTTTAGCGAGAAGCACGTTAGTATAGCAAAGTATCGAACTGTTTGAAACTTGAAGAAAATTACGTATCGTATAGTATTCAAAGAGTTAGAGAAATTATTTTGAGATAGTGCAAGTAGATACTTGGAAAAAAGTATAAGATAAGAGAAAAACTTGTTTATGATAAAAGAGAAATGATTTTGAAAAATGAAAATAAAAGAAAGTCATATAAGAAAAAAAAAGAGAATCATATCGATATTCTTTGAGAGAAGAAAAATTCAAACCTTTCGATAGTTTTACTTGCTTAATAATAGATACCAATATTATCAAATTCGTACATTTTGAAAAACATTTTCATCGTTTATGTTAAATTAGCTTCGCGTTTTTCGCGATGTAGGAAAATTTCACTTTGAGCGGTAGTTTCGTCGTAGAATCGAAAATCTTTAGCATCAAATATAAAGACGCGATTAATCTTCTTTATACTTTTCTTCAAAAAATACAAATGCGATATTTGACAAGTATCATAAAGATTTACAGAGATTCGAAATGTCAAGTCTTTATAGAAGCTTCTTACGTACATTGTATAGGAGTCGATGATAACGTAGCACGAACTCTCAAGCGCATGCGCATAAACACGTTTCATCGTAGCTTCGATCCAACGTCGCGAGGTTAGTCGATAAGAAAACTTATCGTAGGTATATCTACATAGAATGACGCGTGACTACGTAAAAAAATAAGCTACGAATGTTGTCTATTATGTATAAAGATATATCGTTGATCAAAGAGTTCTTTTTTCCTTCTTTTTTCTTTCTTTTTCATTTTTTTTTATCTTTTTCTCTTTTTATTTAATTATCACACTACGAACATAACGAAAAAAACAAAATTTCAAATGTGTTAAAGTACATAAACGATCTTTCTCATTTAACGCAAGAATAATTCGATTAGTTCTTATTAGACTTTGAACGTTAAGTATTCAATGATAATTTGCTTACTGTTTGCATACATTTATATTTAAAATCAAGATCAGCATTGAATTCTTCCATCGATTACGTATTCCATGCAAACTCGTGTCACACACAGATCGATGGAAACATTTTCAAAATTGACTGTTACATCTTTCTTTTCTATGTAAAGAAATAGGTAATTCCCGCCTTTACGAATTAATTTATACAGATGTTACGTAATATATATACATATATATATATATTTTTTTCTCTGTTTTCTGAGAAAAATTCATTTTTATTTCATTGAACACTGATTCAATTAATTTATTATGTTATTAATCTCTTTTCGATGTTTGTTGAAAATAAACGAAGAAAAGAATGTTAAGAACTTACCTCCAAATCGAAATTTCTTAAATCTCGGTAAAGTGGCAGTAGTACAAGCACGTGTAAGGGCTGGCATCTCGTTCTGGTCTTCTCGGTCCACCAAAGTTGTTATCGTTTTCGCCCTAACGTTAGAGTCTGTAGGCGATGTGTCCACTTTAATGACGGCTGCTCGTTTCACGGCTCTTTCCTCGATGCCACTCACCTCTATGGATAATGAACACATCCTTTGTTGACGTTCTTGATCTTCCAACGTGTATGTAATATATATCGATGACAATATGAGATTTTTAGAGATTTCTTAGTATACATGTGCGTGTGTGCGTGTACATATGTATATACGTACACATGTGTCATTAATCCAGTACATCAATTGCAAAATTTAACGTGACATCGGTCTGCATATGTTGTAAATCGTTTCAACACTCAATGAGTAATTCTGATTTAGTAGTAGGAAATAGGGGGAAGTCGATGAGTCCTCGTCGAAGGGTGGGGAAAGTCACACGTGTGTTCCAATTGGATCGTTAATTATGAAAAGTCTCGATTTTATATTTCTTTGTTGAAATATTTTGCTTTTCTTTTGTGCATTTTTTTTTTTTTTTTTTTTTTTTTAATAACACTAAAGCGCAATTCTTCGTAATATTTTGGTCAAGTTGAGTCAGCGATTTGTTTAAATTTTGCAACGAGAAGTATGAGTAAGAAAAATCTGACACGTTTAGTTCATTGTGTATATATGCATACACATGTGTGTGTGTGTGTAAGTGTGTATATGCATATATAATTAAAAAAAAATTTGATCTGAATTTAAGGAAGAATGAGAATAAAAAAATAAAAAATAAAAAAGAGAAGGTAAAAGAAGGTGATGAAAGAGACTTACTCGTCGATGATGAGGGCCTCTTGACGGATGGTCTTGCGAGGAGCAATCCTGTCGATGGTTTACCACTCCGATGGTTCACAGTTGACTGGCCGCTCGCATTGCGACCGCTGAGCGATATCTTGGCGCTCATCCTCCGCCGAGATTCTCGATTCCTAAGATCCTGAGTCACGTACCGGGAAGTTGAAGACTTGTCGGAGGTCGCACGTTCTCGCGCACGGCCATGCCAACACTCGTTCAATGTTTTTCTTTCTTTCTGTCTCTTTTTTCTTTCTGTCTCTTTTTTCTTTCTCTCTCTCTCTCCCTCTTTCCCTCTTTCTCTCTTTCTCTCTTTCTTTCTCTCTCTTTCTCTCTCTCTCTCTTTCCCTCTTTCTCTCTTTCTCTCTTTCTTTCTCTCTCTTTCTCTCTCTTTCTCTCTCTCTCTCTCTCTCTCTCTCTCTCTCTCTTTCACTCTTTTTCAACGACCGCTAGCTAACGACCGTCTTCTTCTCGAGGTCTGATTTCGATGGCCACAATCAGCATATTTTAATGCTTGATGGATAAGAATTTCTCGTTTCCTGACTGCTGATTTTTATTTTTCTTTCTCTTTCTCTTATTTTCCTCTTATCTTTCATGCGTCTGAAAAAATTGTAACTGTTGACCAGAAATATCAATTTTTTTTAATTTCTACGAAACTGACAATCTTACCGTTAATTTTAAATAATTGGATGAAAAAAAGGAAATGTTTCCATTTATTCTACATTATTATTGAAATTACCAAAAAAAGAACTTTCATTCTTGTGTGGAAATTTTTAATCTCTCAAATGATCCCGCTGTCGATTATGAATGTCACGCATGGAAAAAATTCGATCGAATTCTTCAAACATTTTCTATATACAAAGCTAAACATATGTATGTTATATATCGAAATATACGAAATGATGAAAAATTTGTTAACCAATGAATACTAGTCTTGGCTGTCTATCGAGGTTGACTTACTCTTAGCCGTCTTTAAAAACGAATAGGGGTATGATTCTGTAGAGAAAATTAGTAACTGTCTATGTGCGTGTGCGTCTGATTCATGATTCCTTTGTTCATTCTCGTCTTCTTGTTATATAGGTCCACATCGTCAACAACGATGATGACGAGCATTATTTTTTCGCAGTTAACGAACAAGTCGAAGGTCGTCAGAAAAATACATTGCCCATACATTTTTACGGTGCTTATGCGCCGTAAAAATCATGAAACTGATTCCCAAAATAGAGACTTTCCTTTTTTCGTAAGCACGTTTCTGTGAGCACTTTAAAAGTATTTTCGAATCTTTTCGGTACATTCGTAGAGCACGATCACAACCAATGCGTTTGACTCATGAACGCATTTATCACATCGATACAGAAACCTTCGAGAGGGAACAGGAACTTGCGAGCAACGACCGCCAAGGCAAGCAAGCCACGTACGTATTTCTCTTTCTTTGTTCTAACGAGACAATCGTTGATCCTTGCTATGATGTCCTTCCGGAAATTTAAGATAAATCATGCTGCGGTTTGAAAGTAATCTATTGTATTTTATTAATATTATGTATGTGACGAAGTTCTCTATAATTTTTGGAAATATTTTCGCAGTTTAACTATTCAAAAATATCCGTAATTTATGTTGTATGAAATTTATTAAATCTCTTAAAAAAATGTCACAGAAATCAGTAAGAAACCAGTTGAAAGAGAAAGATGAATAGATTAAAGCTATATCATAAGCGAGGATAAGAGAGGAAGAGAGAAAGAAAAGAAAAGAGAAAGAGAGAGAGGAAGAAACTTGCTTCTCTGCACTGTCTCTTTCTATCCTTCGTTCCTTCTGCATGGCGTGTATATTTAAATAGAATTCAGCCTCAAGGAGAAAACGCAAGGCTGCGGCAAGGACTCCGACTGTTTTATGCTTCCACGTAGGATCACTGCTACTATCACTATGTCTACCAGCACGAATGAAAGACAGTGTTCGACGTTAGCCGTTTCTCTCTCTCTCTTTCTCTCTCTCTCTTTCTCTCTCTCTCTCTCTTTCTCTCTCTTTCTCTCTTTCTCTCTTTCTTTCTCTCTCTCTCTCTTTCTCTTTCTCTCTCTCTCTAACGCTCGTAGTTACCGCACGCCGACTTAGTTTAAACGTGTTTATAAAGCGATTGCCCATCCAATACCTGTTTCTAGCTGACACGTGAAATTGGAACAATCTTTTCTTGTAATTTCTACATGATCGTACAAAATCTTTGAAAATTTCGATGAAACGTATTTTTTACGAGCCGTCGTCACATAGTAATCGAATACGTTCGGCTAACACATCATAAAGAATGCAATCGACAGATGGTTTTGTATAATGAGTTTGCTCGTTTTTAAGATTCAAGCTTGGTCGATACTTTGTCTTGTCTTGAACTCGAATCGAATTTGGTAAACGCATTAAAGTGAAATAAATGAGATGTATCTGTCTTGAGGAATTTTAATTAGGGGGAACATTTATGTTGGTGTTGATTACATCGATTAACTTAAAAAAAAATGGTGCGAAGGATGTGAATATTGAAAGACTTCGATCATTTACTAATTTCTGACTCATGTTAATATATGATTCATAACAAAGTAATGTTAGGGATCGTCTAGAAATGTTTAAAGAATCATTGACCTTTCACAAAAATCTCAAATGTGTTATAGTGATGGCATAATTTCCATTTTGTAATTCAGTTTATATGGTACGTTTATAAAAAAAAAATATATATATATATTAAAAAAAAAAAAAAAAAAAATATATATATATAGAAAAAAAAAAGAAAGAATGGAAACAAAAGAAAGAAAAAAAAGATCACATTGCAGTAGGGAGTAGAAATGCGAGCGTGCGTGTCCCAACGATTAGGGGTGGCATACGGTGCGTATTAGCAACATAATCAAATCACATGGACCCTCGGAGTTTGCCTATGCAGGAGCGAAAATTTCCGAGAGAGCGTCTATCTCTCAGGAAGGGTGCAACTCCGCAAACGGATAACGTTGCTGAGAATATTATGAAGGAAGAAGAGAATCCGTTTTTCTTTCGTGCATCACCGTTTCTCCCTTCTCGTTCTTTACAGCCCTATATTGCCCTTCTATATATGGGAGTTGTTTCATCTGTTTACTTTTTATTATCTCAACGCCACCAGAAAGCATTCAATGTCGTTCAGGGGTGCCGATAATAAATTTACGATACCAAAATTCAAGTTGTCTAAATAGAAAGAAAAACGGAAAAGTTTTCTTAGAGAATTTACGTTTACGCATTTATCAAATGCATCGATAATCTTTATGAGATCGAAATTTTTCAATCGAATATTACTTCCCGAGAAATCTATATAGATATATACTTGTAATACTCTTCAAGACCCAAAATATAATACAATGATAAAAAAATAATCAATAATACATGATCTACATAAAATCTGGTAACACTTTAAATATTAATTATCATTTAATGACGGACTATGTAAATTGACTTTATGTAAAATATATAATGAACGTATAATAGAGAATAAGAGTACAATAAACGAAAAAGTTATTTTTACGTTCTTAACGAGGTCAGCTATGATCAATCGATCGGTTGGCTCGGAATAGTAGTAAATTGTTGCTTCGGAGAAAGTCGAGACTATCATTTATAACAACATCGACAAAACTAAAGCACTCTTAGGTATATCTACAACATTATAAACCGTTATGGTTATAATGGTAGATTATTGATATGTAGTTTAGATTTCAAACGTATTCACTTGCTTCTAAGAAATATAAAGAAATTTTAACATAGATATAAAACTGTCGCAACGATTTAACACTAAAAGTTTTTAAATTAAAAAACAACCCGTTTTATCTTATCTTTACTTGTTTAATTTTACGTCTAGTCAAAGTACAACTTACGAGAAATTCAGAAGTAGATCGAAGCTATTCGGAGAGAGCAACCTTTGCTCGCGGCTTGCTCCGTAAGTACTGTTTATACGACACGGCACTGTTCGACGGGTTGCTCCGACTACGGCGTCGTTCTTCCTCGCACCCTCTTTCTTTTCCTACGGCGTATCGTAACGTTGTACCACTACTTCTACCATCACCGCATAATGTCCTAGGCAACTCGTCTTTTTCCAATACGCATGCGCTCATAGCTTCGCGGTTGTACGTTCGTTTGTTCAGTACACGTCACTCACGCAACTATTCCTCCTCTTTTCTTCTTTTATCCTCGTCCTCTTTTTACGTAGGTTTATATACATGATCGTATAGAATCGATCCGGTCACCTGCCTTTCTTCCATCCAAACCTTAAACCCTAAGACGTTTATTTTCTTTCCTTTGTATGAGAATAACAAGTCAAAGATATTGGAAAAGTTTCTTTACAAAGATTCAAAAAAATATTCTATATCATTCATTCAACGATAAAAAAATAATTTTATTAGCTCAATTTTCAAACATAATCAATTAATTTAAGTAAAATGAAATTCAACGAATTTTATGATAAACTACGCTTAATCAAGCATAGATAAGATCTAGCCTTGCTTCTTTTCATTTTCAAAAATGACACATTTGGCCGTTTAATATCAAATTCTGGTTTATATCTATCAGATGCGAAACGATCGAAGGTGCTTCCGTGTCTGACGAAGTGCTTTTATTCTTGAGAATGACTTCATCGCTCTTTGACGTACGTACTTATATCGTATTTAAATTATATCGATCGATATAATACGTCATAGACCGACCTAGAATCGACTATTCGTGACATGGTTAGAGGTGCTTTAGGTTCGATTCGCGCTAAACTTATCGTTTGCGAGTAAATCTAACATTAATTATATATCTACGTATTGTATATATGTATATATAATATATGTTCGTATAATTGCTGATGTTATCATCATTCCTGTTATCTAAACATGCTAAAAATGAATATAAATATTTATTTGTTCAGAATTTTAAGTTAAATTTATTTTTTTTATTATAAAACTAAATAACCTTATCCTTATTTTATTTTGAGTTATACGCGGTACATCGTTCTTTCACTCACAGCTTCTGATAGAGCATAAGGGATGAGGAGAAAGATGCGAAAGCGCAGTATCGTGAAACCCTCCCTTCTTCCCCAAAAATAGGTCGATACTGCATGCGCGCTCATTCGCTGTTGAGGCGTGCGTTGCGATGGACCTCTTCTGATGATGCTGTGAAGAAATCTTTTATATGAAATGTGTGAATATGACGGAAATGAAATTATTGCGATTAAAAAGAACTTTCTCGAATGTTTTGTTCTTCTAAAAGAATTATCGATCTTTTGGTGTAGTGATGTAATCGTTTCATCGTTTGCTTACCGATGAAATTTGTGTTTTTGACAAGAGTAACGAAAAAAAATTATAACTCGAACGATTGTGAAATTTATTGATAAATTTATGTGAAAGAAAAAAATACACAATGGGAACAAAGTTTGCAGCGTGTGTGTATTCATTCATTTATAAATGTCTTCAAGTTATTTTTTTCGAATGATTATACTGAAAAATATATATTTCTTTATAGATACTTTAAAATTAACCAATTTAAATGAATATTATCAAAGGCTTCTTCACGGTAGTCAACCGCTTCCATCTGGTACTGACATGGCCAATACCGTAAAGCACTTGTCGCAAACTTTGTTATGTACGTAATCAACTATTTAATTTTACGATCATTGAAAACTTATTGATTTTTATATTTCGATTATTTCTAGCTGTATTGAAAGAAGCCAGAGAAGCACCATTGGAAATGATCAAGTCGCAAAAATTTGACTCCGAACGCATGGCTCTTTATCCTAATTTGGATTACAAACAATTGTATAATGCTTTGACTCAGCTGATGGATGTTATTCCTTTGATCCATATAGGTTTACAAGGTACGTTAATTTTCTTATATTATGAGAAATACAATCATTGTATACCAATATTTTCATTCTTATTATTTAGCCTTTGGACAAGCTTTATTACAATGTCTAGCTTGCCTTTTACCATTTCTTGAACATGATTTGATCGATAATATGCCATATTTAGCGGCAAGTTCTATCTCTGTTTTACCGATGGAACTTCATCAAGATATCGTTAATTATTTATGTTTTTATATTCTACCATTTACAATAAGTAAGTATTTTCAATCGATGATATTGTGAAATATATTAAAAACGGTTTCTTTTTCTATTTTATTTCTTTTTTTTTATTTTTCTTTACATATTTTAGCAAGAAAAACCGAAGATGGTAATGAAAATTCTTCCAGTCAATCCATTGCGGCAGTGATAATGATGATTTTTCAATACTCTAATAATCCAGGTGCTTTTTTATTATCATAATTGTTCAAGTCGTGAATGATGCAATTAAAAAAGAAAATATAATAAATTTGTCGTATGTTCCAGCACATCACTGTCAATTACTGGAATGTTTAATGACGTTGAAGCCAGGAGTAGTTAAGGATATATTGTGCGTGATCGCTTATGGCACCGCACCAGCAAGAGCATCCGCTGCGAAATTATTATTTTACTATTGGCCTTCGTTCAATCCAAATTTATTTGATCGTCGAGCGGTTTTAGTTAAATTCGCAAGTAAGTTTTATTAAGATTTTCCTATGACATCGATTGTATGTTGTAATTAATTGTTACATATCGTTACAGATGATCTTTCTCCTTTTGTATGTCAGAGAGATTCTTGTCCAAACGCTGGCAATGCCGAAGCAGGAAAGGTTTGTTATGACCATAGAATTTCGATTACTTTCGCTACCGAATCACCACCACCACTTTATCTTTGTATCGAATGTGCTAACGAGATTCATCGTGAACATCCAAATCAAATGTTTTACGATATCTTACATCCGATGCAACAGGTGTCAATGGTTTGTGAAAACAAGGTATATATATATATATTTTCCTTCTCTATAATTTATATATATACACACACATACACACACATTTATATATATATATATATATATATATATATTTACATATATTAAGATAAACGATATTTGAAAAGAAATTTTTGAATGTTTAAGAATTGTAGAGCATCGGACAAGTCGGCAATCAGCGTTTGCTTTTCAACGGAATGTGCAAGTTATAATGGAAATCATCCAATTCGTTATTGTCAGCAATGTCACAATATTCGGCACAATAATCGTCGTGGTGGTGATCACATTTATCACATGGCTCTGCCACATATCTCACAACTCGACGCTCAAACCCGAACTTATTTGGTTCAAGCTATCGTCAGGTGAGCAAATGCACGAATTATGAAATATCTTAAACAATTATGTATCGCTTATCGTTTAGAAATGACGAATACAAGAAAAATAAAATGTTATTGAAAAAAGAAATGATCGTTTTGCACGAACGTCATAACGCGATAAGGACCATCGTGATTAAAGTCGCAAATGGCAATCACGAATTCTGCTAAAACAAAAAAAGCGATCGCATAACATTAATCATATCTTTATTTTGTTCTATTTTTTCTTCTTTTTTCATTTTTTTTTAATTATTTTTTAAATATCGTTTCAATCGAATCCCATTGATGAAGCACATTATATGTATTTATATACTTATTATTTACTTACATAAATCACAATAATATTCTAATGGGATGAATAATCAATATTATTCTATTGATGATTCATTCTAAAAAAAAACAAGAAAAAGAAATTATTAAATGAAGGATGTCACTTCATTATGTGATATTTTGTATCATACTTATTGTCCCAAAGTGTTTTAATATCGCGATTGATTGATACCTACATATTAATATTTATGGTGCACACGTATGCAGATACGAACACATAAAAAGAATAAAGATTACTTCTTATCTTGTAAGATGCATTTGAAAAATTGTTAATTTTAATGGTAACTGAATTTTAATAAGTGATTTACAAATGAGCCATAAGAAATCATGGTAATGAAAAGACATAAGCATACTTTCGAATTATCCAATCGCATCGTTGAGGACAAATATGAAAATCGTTAAGGCACAAGGTCATTATACGTTAACGAGTTCTATGATTGAAATTCTCGATGCATACTAATGAACAACCGCAGGTTCATTGTTGCTTTACGTGTTTGTTCGTGCTGGTCCAACCTGCTTGGTAAGACATGATACTGAATTATTATCTTTAATGGACTATTACGACAACAAAATCAATGATTATTAGAAAGTTCCATCGAAATTTGTAATATCAAAATCCATCAAATGTGATCAAAGAAAGCTCTGTATGTTTGCCTTGGATATGTACGATGCGGATGAAGCGATGCCCGTGCAGAAAATTGTCTTCATTATAATCTGACAAAAGGAGATTAGAATAGCACACATAGAATTTGATTTAAGATATATATTATGACGAGCATAGTTCCATCCAGCAGCTTTTAAACACGACACCTTCTCTCTTTATTTCTCTCTCTCTCTCTTCTCCTTCTTTTTTTTGTTACACGTTTCTCCACAAGATAGGTAATTTAAAAGCGTTCGCCCACAGTAGAACATAGGAAACTGCACCTTAGAAGTTGCGCTATGCCTTACCGAAGATGCCGTCTTGTAAAACATCCTGGATATCGCACAACAGTACCTGGTATTCTTCGGCAATATAAACAATAAAATAAAGATAGTACTACTGTCAAAAGGAAAAGGAAACATATGAATCAAATAATCATTAAAGTACACTGGTATGCTGCATGATAGCTTGTGATATTTCTCTAAGTCTCGTTAGATTTATCTACGCACGATCGCCACTTCATGATCGATCACCAAATTTTTATTGATCCTTTTATTTTTATTTATTAAATATACTAACATAATATGAATGTTAATTCTCGTAGCTGGAATTTCAAAGATGACATTACTGAATGAAAAGTGTCCATTTCTCTTTACAAATCGCAGAAATCCACTATACTCCTCTGTTTAGAATCATTTTATTTACCTTTCCACATCTATTAATTAATTTATCGCGATCCAAAGGCACGGCTGTCAGTTTAAGTTGTGGTCGACGTAAGTCAATATATATTTTTCATTAATATTTATCAATCGATATTAACATTTCTGTTGAAATATGCTTCGACGTGAATGATCGACATTATCTTACTGAAGATTTCGCGATATGTCCTTTCATAGCTACGAGAGTATATTCCAAGTGAATATCTATAGAAAATAAAATGCTTTTTATTATCAACAATGATCGATATTCGAGTTATGAAAGGACTCGCTTCAATATTGAACGTGGAAGCAAAGTTTCTTCGATGTTCGATCATATTTCACCTAACGTCATTCAGAGTTAAGAAAAAATCATTACTGATATTGTTATTGAGAATGTATAATATGTATGAAATAAAAATAATTGAAAAAGAATCAAAGAAAGTAAAAATTTTGAAGGACGTAGGTAAGTACACAGAGAATGTCGATCGATTTGATGACAGGAAAGATTGAATAAAAAAGAAAGAAAAAAAGAAAATTGCGCGAGAAAGTAATCGACGACAACCGGACGTGACGGAGGATTGCGATCGATAGATCTTTGACAGAATTTCTCTTTTTTATTTGCAGCCTGCTCAAGGAAGCTGAACCGCTAAGTATGGATAGTAACCGCGACATCTCAGAAATAAGTACTAATAAGGGCAGCACAGGATTCCCAGGAAGCAGTGGCGGTGGTGGTGGCAGTAGCGGCATTAGCGGAGGTGGTTCTGGAGGTGGTAGCGGTGGCGGTCTTGGAAGTAGTAACTTCTCTGGAGCTGGTGGATCGGGTCAATGCGATCCTACAACACTCGAGGAGAGACAACTTTTAGGAAGATATGGCGTTTGGCTACTCGTGGGACTTTGTACCCCGAACCAGGATACTCCGATCGAAATACTCGGGCGTTTATTGTCAATGCTATTTCATTGGTTTCATGTCACTGCCTACTCTTTCGATGGTACTAAAAAAAGCCTTATGCACCTTATCTTTTCTGTTGGTAATTTAACACTTCGCATATACACTATTTGAAGTAGAACGTAGATGAACGTAGGTAGAAAATGGCCGCGATCGTAGGCACATTCGACGCACCGAAATCGCTCTCAAACATTAACATTAATACATAACTCTTATACGTCGATATTTATCATCGTATTCACGGATTTTACTGATGACAATCTTTGATCAGCGTTCTTTATCCGTGCTTATGCTATTTATTTATGAAATTAATTGTCGTACGTATTCTCTTCGATGGTATTTCATTGAACGCACTTAATCAATGGATCCTTGTGGACTTTGGCTTTTACTACACGAATCTCTTACGTATATATATACGTACCATGTATCTATGTATCCCGTTCAAGTACGGTCGAAATATTCGATTTATATTCGATGTTTCCTCGATTGTTTGTGGCACGCTGTTATGACTCGTTGTTATATAAGTAGGCGTCGGATGCCGAAAATAAATATACCAAACTGTATAATTAACTTATCGATGCTCATTTATCTATGCAGAATATTTTTATTTCTTTCTTGTTTTTAAACCTATATCTTTTTAAATATTTCTCTCTCTTTCTCTCTCTCTCTCTCTCTCTCTCTCTCTCTCTCTTCTGCTTTTATTTATTTATTTTATGACATAACTCGATACTGTATCCTATGAAGAAACAATTGATCAAAAAATATTTATTATAATATCAACAAGTAAAATTTATTGGATATCTAAAGTATTAATAAAAAAACGTTAATATTCAAATATTAATCAATAGATGAAAATAAATCAAAACTTTTTCGAGATCGGCGCCTATATATCGCATCATGTTGGCGTTGAATAAGATATTGCCTTTGCATATGCATGTATGTATATACACACACAGAGATGAGTATTGATGTATTTAAAAAAATACAGATTTGTCGTACATATTTGTTCGCATATAAATTATCATACTGTTGTTGTATTACACGAATACAAAAAAAATGTTTTTGTTAGATAGATATGATAAATATTAAAGAAGCGAGTGCGTCTGCGTCGCGGCTATTAATACTTTGTTTTCGATGTATAGAATTTGAAAAGGAGGTAGTAATATTAATAATACCGCTTAATATGTTTTCGTGTGTACAAGCTTTCTTCGACTCACTGAATTCTATGCATGGAAACTAAACGTATAGAAAAGTAGTGAATCTTATTCACGTGTAAATACCAATATTCAAACTTTTCATTGATCGATCGATTCATAGCTGATCTCATTTATATAATCAAACAAGATCAAAGTGTTCGCTATATTACAATATTAAAAAAAAAAGAATATCAAATTATTCTTACATATTATTAATCGAATAATTAATAATACCTAACTATTTATTCTCATTGTTCATTTGTGGTTGCTAGCTTTACGTATCTTTGTCATTTGTATAACAATAACGAATGTAACATTTACTGAACATACACAATGTGCTTTCCAGTGTGTACATATATCCTGATTGTATGTTCCTATTTAATAAAATTGTATTTTACAATTTATAATAACATTTTTTATTGATTCATAGGCCAAGCTGAAAGTGCGCTTGAAAAACTAAAGACCGAGTATGTCTGTGGTTGGCTATCTAAAGTTATGAAAACCCATTACGATGTCTTCATTTCCTGCCTTTTACCACATCCAGCTGATTACGTTAGAGTCGGAGGTCATTGGTAAGAACCATTTCAAACATTTTTCTAAAGTGCCTGTAAGTATACGAAATCATAATCGATATTTTAATATAATGAAACTTAACTGAGATAAATTATTCATTATTTAACTAGGGAGACTTTGGCCTCGAGAACGTCACATTTGAAAGACGGTTTAAATCGGCTTTTTTGCTTAGTTCCTTACGAGGTAATCACGACCGACGTATGGGATTACGTAATGCCACATTGGATGGAAGCTATGGTTAACGACGTACCGGAACATGAACTTCACGAATTAAAGATGATTCTTTGGTATATATATTATCTATAATTACATTTGTCTTCATCGATACATAGCTATTATGAATTTTAACATCTTCCTATTACGTTTGAATTGCAGTAAAATTTTGGATCCGGACATGAGTCCATTAGGTTTTGATGCAAAAAAGATGTATAATTTCGTAGCGAAAAGATTTATCAATACCAGCCCAAAAGTGCAAGAACAAGCACTTAATTGGCTTCAGACTTTGACGATGTTAGAAATTATGATTCCGCTGTGTCAATTGTTCTCGATGTTCAGTGATGGAGTCGCGGTAATGGGTAAAATGAACACGATAGAATCCGAAGAAAAACCTAATAAAGCTATGAAAACTATTGAAGGTGATAATACGATATGTAAGTAGTAAATATAATTAGAAAGTTTGAATCTAACTCTTGTTCATGGAATTGAAATACTTCTTTTTGTAAGTTCAGTCGTAGAAAATGAATCAGGCAAATCAACGCCCCTTTCTGATGATGCTATTCCTACCCCAAGACATATGGAATTTAATACCAACGCAGAATTAAACTTATCTTGTTGCATTCTTATGCTCGATATTCTATTAAAGCAGGTAATCTAAAACGAAATACATAAAACGAGAGAACGTCTAAAAGTATCGACTGATTAATCAGATTTTTTTTTTGTTCTGTTAAAAGATGGAACTACAAGACGTTGATAAACACACTGGTATCAACTCCTCGGTCTGTAAAAGCGCGTGTCATCTTATGAAATCAATAGTAGCATCGAACTGGAACAATTGTCATATCTGTAACTCTAAAAACGAATGCAGTTATTGCGAATCAAGGGTAATATGGCACCAACTGTGTTTACAATTGGTCACTTACATGGCTCCAGAAAATCCGGCTTATCCACCAGACGTACGTTGATTATTATTGAAACGATTGAAGAGCTTGCTATCTGAGAGAAATTATGCTTTTAGACGGTAGTCGATGAAACAGTAGAAGATCACGGCCGTAAGGGTTCACCCGAATCTACTAGGAAAAGCGATTCGAAGCCAGATGTTGTCATTAATATGCCAGTTCCAGAATTACACTCCGTTGGCGGTGTCCTCGTTCATATGCCTCACGTACGTTCTTTTCTATATGTTATAATTATACGCCAAGGAACAAACAAAAAAGAGATGTACGCTCTACTGAATACACTGAATCATTGTGTACAACACCTACGTGTGCTAACAATGTAGCATGCTGCTCGTCTAAACTCTATGTTCTTTCTCTCTCTTTCTCTTCTTCAACTTCTACTACGAAATGGCTTGTATGACCATAAAACACGGTAGGCTAATCTATGTCGTGCAATAACGGGTATTTTGATCGTTTATATCAGTTCTTCGAACAGATCATGACAGCCACAGTAGAAACAGTTTCGGAGCAGTTGGATCTTGCGGCTATCATGCCAGCTGAAAAGGTCATGTCTGCCGTAGCACGAGCTGTTACCCTTTCGGATACTGATGTTGGTAAGTTTAATTTTTTTTGTTGTTGAGATTTTTTCCTTGTTTAAACCAACTATTTAACACATAGGATTCTTTGATAAAAATAATTTTAGCTACGGCAACGGTTAGCGTAGCGAAACCACATCTCATAGGAGAAAACGATCAACCTTTGAACTGTAGTCCGGAAAATGAGCTCGACGATTTTTGGCAAACCTCTGTTGGAAAATTTCGATTTTCCATCGATGAATTACCCGAACAATTGCAATATATACACAAACTTCTTAAGGTTCTAATCAAATTATAAATATATACTTCACAAACATCACGAGTCAGTAATTATTATTATCATTAATGATTCTAGGAGATTCAGACTATCGACAAAGCCGACATTTTGTATTACATGTTGCAATGTTTAAATGTTATGTGTTTGTATGGGGATGCATTTAATACGGCGGTTAAGGATCATCAAGGCTTTTTCATTTGGTGTCAAGAAAATTTATTGATAAGAAAGTAAGTTTTTGTGATTTTAATTAACGCGTCAATCTGTAAAAAGGTTTTTAAGAAAGATTAATAAATATTTAAATATAAATATTTAGTTTGTGGGAACTCTTGAATGCTGAATATTCTCACATAGCTGAAGTAACTGTACCTTTGTTGTTGCATTGTGTGACACTACCATGTGGAACCGATACATTTTGTCGCTTGATCAAAGAAGAATTTCACAATTCCGATTGGCGTATTAGATTTTTAGCAGGTAAATAGGAAATAACTACTTCATATTTTTATTATATCAAATTGAATAATAATATCACTTGTATTTAGTGGAAAGAATAACACTGATCGCTAGATTTATGGATTCGACGCCATTACGAAACGTTTTAAGTCTACAAGCTGCATTAGCAATTGCTTTTTGTTATTTAATCACCAGTATGGACGATAGCAATGTCTATGTTGCACAAAGAGCTACTCTTTATCTTGGTACAATCCATGATACTGCCGTACGTGTAAGTGATATCTTTTAATTTTTATTGATACTTTTGCAAATGTATTATACAAGATGAATATCCCATGCTTTCAGTCTTTAATTCTTTGTTTGGAAACTCAATTCGACTTAGTAATCGAAGATCGACCAATGGTGTTACAATCGCTATATCAACTTCACAATTGCTTAAGTGATCGCCGTATTTTAACTTGGGAATTTTTTCTCAATCGTTTTGACGCAGTATTTCTTGAAGCTCAAATCAATTTAGAGAAATCTGGAGACATAGTTTATCTACGTGGTCTGTACTTTATTTTATTCGAGGAACTTTTTTCAAAACAGAGTAGTGATATAATGATCGATATATTCTTCGTGTAGATCTCAGAAATACCGATTTAAATAGCGAGGTCTTCATAAAGAAATTACACAGAGCTCACGAAGCGCTTTCTCAATCCGATGGAAGTGGAACGAGTTCCGTAAAAACTCTGAGCGCGAATTTTGGAACAAAGTGGCCATATAAACGAACTATGTCAGCACCTGCATCGATGATCCCCAGACAGGATACTAAACAAGGTATTTATAACTTGACTGAAGATGATGTTTGACTACAATACTATATCTGTTAAGGTCAAGTTTAGTAAACAAATCATTTTAAATGATCTTTTCCTATTATACTTTAAATCAATTATTTTATTTATATGATAGAACAATTACTGCGATTACTACGATTATTAGATTATATTATAGTTAACGGAGGAGCAAACAATTGTAAAGTGAAAACCATATAAAGAATGAATAATTTTTTAGTGGACAGTCAATATCATTTCTACGTATTCAAACCTTTTAGACTTAGTATCCATGAGATTAGCTAATTAAAATAATCATGATGCACGTTGCATCATCATGAATTCCAATGTATTAGCATCATTATTCCCTGTTTCCCGCTTGCAGAAAAGGAAAAGGTCTATAGTCGACAATATTCCGCACCTATTTTGAAGCGCAAGAGCTCCAGATTCGGACTGGGTCAGTTGCTGGGGCCCACCCCACCTAATAACAGTATTTCAGGTAGTGTAGTTGCAATCGCATCGCTTTTAGATATGAACAATATATGTATGCATAAATGTTCCCCCTTTATGTACGCGATCAACGTATATCAGGACTTTAAAACATAATTTTTATATGCGGATCGTCTGGTAAGTCTAATAATGTTCCATTAAAATCGGAGTATAAGATAAGCAAATTCTTGTTTTTCTGATTAAACTCATTTTAATAACCCCTTTAGATAATTAACATTTTTCTTTTATCTCTTTCATTTAAATTTTAACTTACATCGTACTCTGTGTAAAATATTTTTATCTGAAAAAAAATTAATCATAAATATTTTAAGAATAATGCATCCATACGCACTTGGCACGATTCCCTTTTTTCATTTACCTATTTAGTGAATGATTGCAGTGGCTTATAGTTTTTTAACATGCGCATGTTCGTTCACTGTGCTTCCTAGATAATTTAACATAAGATATAGAAATTATATAGCGTTCAATAGATCGTATAAAATAGTCTAAATTTGTCTAAAATTGATTTTAATAAGTAAAAAATGATATCAAAAAGTGTAATACCTATCATTCACTCGGTAACATATACTAGCATGCGAAATAATAAAGCGATTTTCTTTCAAATAATCTGATTATTTACTTTTGTTTTAGTATTGTTAATAAAAAGAGATTTAATGTAATTTAATATTTGCAGATGGCCATGTACATTCATTGAATATGGTCGACGAAGGTGGTACTTTACCAAGTTATACGCATAAAATTGTTGATTTTGAAGAAGCTGATAAAGAAACCATTCACCTATTAGTTTTTCTTTTAATGCAGTTTCTTTCTAGGCAAGATCAAGTAAGTTAATATTGATACAATTTAAATGAATTTATATATTATAAAATTTAATTCGTAAACAATTTGAATAGGCATACCCGACAGATGAAAAACCATTATCGAAGACGCAGGGAATAGTTTTACGACATTTGTATCTTTTGTTGGGATATAATCAAACAGAACGAACATTTCACATTTCTCCACAACGATTAAGGTAACATCTTTATATTTCTTATTTCGATAAAATATCTTATTTATATAAAAAATTATTTATATAAAAAAGTATATATATAAAAAAAAATAATTTCTCATTTATAAATAGACTTTCTCCAGTATTCAATGTCTTCGTGGCTAATTTACCACAATTATTAGACCAGAATCATGTAATGGGTTGGGTAATGACACCACCAGTTTTGGCTATATTACAACATTGTCCTTGTCCACCACAAGGTGTTCCTCCGACGGATCATCAACAACCTACATATAGTCTTTGGTATTTAGAACCACATATTAGACGATCTTGGTTGATGTCTCTTCTTGTAATATTATATAAGGTAAAAATTGAAATACTCTGATCTAATGAATAATTTAATAAATTAAATAAAATTACAAATAAAAGCACAATACTATTTGGTATTTTTTAGTGTCAATACAGTCAACAACCGTGGTGTAATCAATTACAAGCTTTGATAAAAATAGTGTTGAATACACTCGATGCACAGCATCATCAATGTAAGAGAATACCAGCTACAGTGGTAATGGGTGGGCCCCCTTCTAGATCACGTGGTAAAAATATAAATACAAATTTATATTTACAATTGAATAGAGATTAATGTGATCAAAATTATCGTAGATGTTTCGCAACCATCTCTTGGAGTAGATCATGATTTGACGGCTAGTGCAATGGGTGAATTTGATAGTGAAAGTCCACCGATGCGTACACCATTGATATCGGTACATCAACGTAGTCCAGGTGCAATTCACAGTCAATCTCTCGCAATGGAAACTCATTGGGAAGAGAGTGGCCCACCTTGTCGCTATACGAACAAACATTCAAGGTCTATTTAATAAAACATTATATTGAGCATTTTAGGTGATACAATACTTTTAACAAAAAATAGAAAGCATTTTTTTCCCTTTTTTGGAATGTCACACATAGCTGTTATGTATGAATTTTGCACTTTCATGCATTATTCTGTACATGCACTTTTAGAAAACTTTTAGAAAACTTTACTAATTCTTGAAATAATTATGCTATATGATAATTTATATAACTACGTCTTTCGATTATATTTAACAATTAGAACAAATCCAAGCAGACCAAGGCAAATACATGCCTGTGAACAACAACGATCAATGTGATTCTCTTATGAACTTATCTTTATCGTTGCCTTCTAAATAGATTTATTATAACTACAATTTTATTACATTCGTCTCCAAAATTAAATTTTCAAAAATTTTCGTTTCGGCCATTTTTTAAACAACGTTATCCCGAAGAATAATGAATTCACACCTGCTGTTACACCTGCCTGTGCTTATGTCAGTAGCTGCTTGTTACAATTTTCGCTATTGTGAATGCCTGTACAAAGCTGTTCGATCAATGCGGATGATACGGAGTCCGAGCTGGCTGCAATACCAGAGAGTCCAAAATCTGACAGCACCTTGCATGGTAGTAGCGGAGGATCTCTTGGTGAACTGGAGGAAAGTACAGCCGTTGTCACTCGAAGTGCCTCTATACATGGTGCCAGAACATCTACAACCGGTGATATAATCGGAAAAATCGAAGTTAATCATTCGAATCGATTGAAATCCGGAATGCCAGCAGCAAGACCAACTTGGTTTTTAGGAAACGAGGATGATACGCCTCAAGTAAGTTAATTAGTGAGACTTATTGTATATAATGGTATTTTCGGAGGATTACGGACTAAATATTATCGTTACAACAGGCTAATAAATTTGGAACTCAGAAAAAATGGAGCGTTCACGAAGGTGTCAAAATGATGGTAACAAGTACTTTTCTAGGTGGACAACATGAGTCCTCTAAACAACCATCAATGTCAAAAGTAGCGATAACAGAAGATAAAGGTCAATTACACTTTAACGGAGATAATACATCTGCGAGGCCATTTGGATTGTCTAGTGCTTTTGCTGTAGCTACAAGTATATCTCATATTCAAAGGTATACAAAATGATCATTTAATTAATCATAAATTTCAGATTTTACGATGTTGAATATGAATAATTGATTTTTATTATCTCAGATACGAACCGCCAACAGAAAAAGCACTTCCTTCTGTACCAAAAATGACAGATTCACCAAACTCCAAACAATTAGGTCGACAAAAACACGTGGAACAGCCAACAACTATAGTATCGCCAGTTTCTCCATGTCAAGCTATTACAGTTACTAGCAGTGATCAATCTAGCTCACCTGCGATGAGTTCTATATCCTCTCAAATTACAAGTACAGAGAATGGACAACATGCTAGTTGGTTGGGAAGCCCACAATTTCCGATGACAACACCGACGATTGAGCGATTATTACCAATTGGTACAACAACTCGATTAACAGGTTATTAAATTTTAATATCCTTTATGAAAAAATATCAAGAAAAACATGAAAGATAACTTTGATTTCTTACTTCAGCTTCAAGAGCTCCCCAGCGTGTATTGCGATGCGAGGATGCATATGGATCTCCGGAATCACCCCTTTCTAAAATGGATGTCTTGACAGTCAGTAAGTCTATTTACTATAATAAATAAAATAAAAATATTTATTATTTTTAATAATATTATACAATTTTGGTAAGGTTCATCATTTGAACAAGACAGTGAAACTTGTATGTCTAGTGATGTTACCAGTCCACGAAGTATTTCTCAACTTGAATTTCCCATGCCTGAAAGACTTTTACCTGTTGGTCCACAGAGAGACATATCCCGCATTGCCGAACGTGTTCGACAAGCACTTGGTGTACCTGATATCGATGGTATTTTAGATATCTTAATAAACCTATATAGTACTAATTTTACATGCTGTCTGCTTATATTATTTTTATGTAGATACTAATAGAAAAAATAACGATGTCAAGGACGAAGCAATTTCTTCCTTAAAGCAAGACAGCATTACATCAGAAAACATGGTATGTCTAAAACACAATGGTATAACAAACAATAATAATAATGATTGGTTTAATGATAATTATCAAGTAATAAGTATTATTAAATAGGTCTTTATTACAATATTATTGTAACAATAAATTATTTTTTTGTTTTTTAGTCTACCTCACTTATGCCAACATCAAATGAAATACATTCGAGTAGATCAGCAAGTCCTAGAAAATTAATCAAGCAAGTAGCTTTAGAATCACCTCCTCCAGCAGTCGAGGGAACAGATTTTAATTCACGAATATTCGAACACGAAAAAAAAACTAAATCAAAAGATCAAATACGCATACAAAGAGATAAGGGTCGGAAAGTAGGAACGACAGCTCCAGATGTAGCGTTTACAAGACATATGAATTCATGGTAACTATTAAATATTTATATAATACTTTTTAAAATATTGCAAAAAAGAAATTAATTATTTATATTTGCTATAGGTCTGGACCACAAATACAATCAAATTTAGATTATGTATCTCAACAAGCATATCATGCAAATTTTAATTTAAAACAAAGTTTATTTCGCATTGGTGATGACTGTGTATATGATAGGTATATTTATTAAGATACATAATAAAGTCGATCTGTAGTTTGTAAATTATAATATTTCATTCTGATTGTTTCTATCTTCCATTTAAAATATACAGATGCTCTGATTGTGGAACTATAAAAGAAGAATACTCTGATGAAGAACTTGGTCTTTGTATCATTATTTTAGGAACATTCATACATCGTGAACCATCTTTAGCTGCACCTCTTCTACCAGAAATTCTTAGCGTAGTAACAAAGTGAGTATATATTATTTACACAATTAAATATTTATGAGATATAAGCAAAGATAAATGAAAAACTTTTAGGGTGGCATTACATGCAATGTATCCGTGGCAAAGCGAAACTAACATGCATCTACCTGGTGGTGCGATTAGTGTGGCTCATCAATTTCTAAGATGTGTACTTCATCAACTAGCGCCTAATGGAATATTCATGCAAATGTTCCAAACACATCTTAATGGTACAACATATAAATCTATAATCTTTATATAATATCACAAATATTATATCCATTTACAGAATCTACACGTATGCAGTTCTTCAAAAGTGTTGCACAAGCTTTAGTCGATTTTAATGAATTGAATCCAATAGCACCTTTACAGTTATTGTTAGAGGTAATAAAAATATATTTATATTTTTAAAAAATTTGTTTTTAATAAAAAAATAACTTGCTATCTAATTATAAATAAAAATTCTAGACTCTAAATGCAAAAAAGTCTCTACCAGTGGAACGTTTACCAGTAATACTTCACAACATAGCTTGTTATTTGGATTGCTTACCATTGGAAGCAGGTTTAGGTCCTGGGGCAGCAACATGGAGTGGATTATTAGCACAATTCGATGGATTATTTCGTAGGCTTGTATTAATGCTCTCATCTATTGAGGACTCTTTACCATTATTACGAATTATGATTTCTGTATTAAAAGTTCCAGGCATACAACAATCAAAAGTAAGATTGTATCAAGCAGCCTATATTTGAGTCTGAAGAAAATTTTTTTATGTCTTATTTAATTTTAGGGATTGTTGGATCCATTTTCAAAAGTATTAAGCTATGCTATACAGAATTCTACATTGAAGTACAGTTATTTGATAGATTTGTGCTATCTTTGTCATAGAGGATTTACCCGCGATAGAGATAAACATTTCTTAGGCAGAACTATAGTGTTTGAATTAATTCAAGTTATAAAATTTAAAACAACGATACCAGATTCTAATTTATTACTATTACTTCACTTTGTACTTCAGGTAACGATATATTCATAATAGTATTTAATGTTTCATATTTCTGTAAATACGTGGAAACTTTTTTATACAGGACGTAGGAGGTGCTTTACCTAATACTGTTGCTATGGAACAGATTCAAAATGATGTTTCTTCAATTTATAACACTAATGCGTCGGATTCGTTAAGAAGTCAATTATTCGAAGTTCTTGACTTTTTAGCAGATTTTCATACCCTCAGTAAGATCAAGGTAATATAATTTTTATTTTATAGGTATAAAAATTTTTTTACGATCATTTAATGAATCTATCGTCTATTTTAGAGTTACAATAAAGGATTACAAGTTGGTTTAAATGAAGATACGTTAGGTGGAATGCTGAAATGCGGTTTAGCTCAATATGTTGCAATAGAAATTACCAAAGGAAATAATAGAGAAAACAGAGCTGTAGGACGATATTTATCATGGCTTTCTAGTGCACCATCTATGATACAGCAAGGGTGATTTTAATTAATTAATTTTTATAATTGCAAAGTTTTATAATATCAATTATTCCATAATAAAATTTGTTTAGGGCTCGTGAGTATGTGGATTGTATTGGACATATCAGATTATTATCATGGTTGTTATTAGGCTCTCTTACGCATTCAGCAATGTTCGCTGGTAATAGTAACACTCACAGTCATGGATCTCCAATTTCATTTGTACAACCAATACCACAGGAAATGTCTTGTCATGTAGCAGATCATATACAAGTAATTTTTTCAGCATTTCCTGAACAATCCAAAGCATCTGTGCTTCATATGTCATCTTTATTTCATGCATTTATTCTTTGTCAGGTATGTTATAAGATTGTAATATACGTTTCTAAAATCATTCGTAGTCTAAGTTACTAAAATATTATAGTTATGGACAATGTATCTGGAAGAGCTATCGAAAAATAATCCATCAAACAGTGAGAGTCAGAATGTTACTATGAATACCCTCTTAGAATTTTGGGGAAAAATTACACCACGTATTCTTCAACTGGTCTCTTGTTCAAAAAATGTAAGTGTTATTAATATTTGTCGAATCATTATTAAGGTAATATAATTGTCAATTATAATGTTTAGCTTGCAGAAATGGTAAATCTACATTTTCTGAGTCTTTTGGAAGCTCTTTTAGAATGTGGTTCCATTGTATTAAGTAAACTATTACCTCTTTGGAGTCCCATTTTATTTTCTCATCATACACAGGTAGTAGAATAATCTAACAAAAAATATATGATTATATAATATTTATAATATATGACATAAAATAATATACATATAATATATGTAAATATAATTTTTATATTTATATATATATAAACAAAAAATTATTAAAACATATATTTTAAATATATTTTAGTTACCAGGGCATTTACAAGTACGATTACAAAACTGTCATGATTTTCCACCAACTAGAATGTCTGAACATTTTGTTTCAATTAGACGAGAATCAAACGCGATACTTTTACGATGGTTACACCGACTACAGTTTAAGATGGGTCAAATAGAAATGCAATCTTCAACAGCAACACAATTTTACTCTATCTAAAAAATTGATATATAACAAATAAAATAAAATTAAATAATGATAATATATAACGGCCAAAGATAATAATGTTATCATTATGAAAATTATAATAATATATAAATTGTTATAAAAGTGTTTTATATGTATATTAATTATTACCTTTTTCGAATATGAAAGTACTTCATATTTTGTTAAATGTACGTAAGGTTTTTTTGTGTGATTTTAAAATCAATGTTTATTATCACATAATTATAATTATGTGTGTTATTATGTGATACTTATTTTTTCATTATCAATAATTAAAAATAAAAATTAGAATTAGAAATTGTTTTAACACATTACAAAATGATTTAAAATAATCACAACATTTCGTATTATAGATTACAAAGTTATATTTAGTAATTGTTAATAAATTTAATTATACTGTTTTCTAAATACAAGGTATCATCTAAATAACATTTCCAAATAGATAGAGAATTTAATTTAAAAAAAAAAATCTATTTCTTAATTTTAATTTGTTCTATAATAAATACGGAATAGTATAGAATATTATATGATGAAAATTCTCATTATTTAAAAGTATTAATAGATCTATAGTGTTTTACATAATTATTATACATAGAAATTTGACCATTTAGCACCGTTTAATTGTACTGTTACTATTGGCTATTAGCCTCAAGATCCATATCAGACCAAACAGCTTCAGTTTCACTTTCATCAGGTGCTTCATCAATATCGGTATCTGGTAAACCATCTCCAACATCATAAGTCGTATCTGCTTGTTCTTCTCCTACAGTCATATAATATGTTGAATCTAATTTACTTGAAGTGTTATCAAGTCTATGCATTCCTTCCAATGCTCTTCTATTACTTGGATCCAAACTGTCGTAATTAAACAATATTTAATCTTACTTTAATATGTCATGTCATGTTAAAATAAATAAAAACTTTATATTATATTATTTCCTAATTAGCTTATAGTACACTACTTTCTTTAATTTAAATTGTTAATTTTATTAAAATACTCACTTTAAAGCAATAGCATATTGATCTAAAGCTTTCTCTTCATTATGTACCCTTGCCCAGAGATCACCTAACATTTGATGCAGCTTACAAGTAGGTTGTATTTCAACTTGTCTTTCAAGTAATTCGATTGCAGCTTCTAAGTTCATTTCTTGTTCATATATTTCAGCTAACAAGTATACAGTTGGTAAATAAACTTCATCTTGCGATAATGCTTTTTCCAAAAGATTTTTAGCTTTTCCAACTGATACAGGATCTTTCATTAGTACAGAAGCATATAGCTATAAACATAATCTTTGTATTATAAATCAGCTTTTGTCTTTATATAAGCTTTTCATTATTATATTTTAAGAAACTAAAAATCTATAACAGAATTTTTAGGTACAACATAAAATGCATATTTTAATACTTACTGTCAATACTCTAGGAGTATGACCAAGCTGTTTACAAGAACCACTTGCAATATTTAAGGCTTCTCTTAATCTATGCATACCGACTAGACAATCAATCAAGCCTTTGTGTGGTTCATAACGATATGGTTTTAATTGTACAGCATGTCTAAAGAAAAATAATGCATCTTGATATTTTTTTTGTTCGATAAGAATATTTCCTCTTAAGATTGTTGCTTCAATATCATTTGGATTTAAATTTAATGCTTGCGCTGTTAATGTGTTAGCTCTATTATATTTTTTTGATGCATATAAAGAATAAGCCATGGCTACATATATTTCACCTATATTTTCACTATTTGTAGTTATCACAGAAATCAGCCTTTCTAACTCTTTTATGTGATGTGTTTTATATAAAACAGCAGCATAAATGTCAACACTGCAAAATACAAAAATGTAAAATATATAATGGTTTAGTGATATTATTTACATTATATAAAGACATTCTCTTTATCTTACCCTGTCATTACATCTGGTTCAATAAGCCTAGCTCTTCGTAAACATAATAGAGCATTTTTATCGTCACCTGCATAATAATAACATTCACCCATAGTTGTTAATAAATTAAAATTGTCTCTTAGTAAATTAATAGTATCTAAGGATCTCAGAGTCACAACAGCATGAGTATATTCTCTATTATGAATTTGAGCATGTGCTTTAATCCAAGTATTTAACCAATCTAAATTAGATAAATTTGCTGCACATCCAACTATAAGAGAATTAACTTCTATTCCTTTTATTCCCAAAGATAATAGTCCTTCAGCAGCTTCCAAGGCTAAAGGACATTCTCTTAATACTTCTTTATACGTGGTAATAGCAGATCGTTCCATTCCTTGTTCATGAAACATTTTTGCTAATGCCATATTAATCTGCAAAACAAAAGAAAAATTATAATTGATCAACAAAACTAATATAAATTAATAATTTATAAACACTCGTAAATAATATAATTATACCTTGGCAGTTCTTTGTTTACCAGGAATACTTTGAAGAACTTGAAGCGCTTCCTGTGAATTTTTTAACTTAATTAAACATAAGTGAATTTGAAATTTTATGTCTATATCCGATGGTAAATCTTTTTGACCATCTTGTAATGGTTTGTTAGCACATTTAGACTTCAAAAGGCACTTCCGAAATTGTAATGCTTTTTTGTATAATGCTTCTGCTTTTCTATATTTTCCTAAATAAAAGTGAGCATCTGCATAATACACGTAAACATGAAACTTCCCGTGCACTGGCAAAAGTTCAGTATTGTGTTCACTAAGGGATAAAACTAAATTTGCCTAGAAAAGAAAATCATAAAATGACGAGTATCTGTTTCATGTTAAATATATTATATACAAATTCATGTATTAGTTTTATTCATTTTTACCATATAATATTTTAATAATTATAATAAAAGAAAAATAGTTAATATAAATAAGAAAAAATAATTTATATTAAATTAAAGGTAAAAAGCAATTATATTAAAGAAATAAACAAATTTATACAGAACTTTAAATGAATATAAGATATATTCTTACATAAATAACAAATTATGATTCCAACTTACAAGAGAAATAACATTGGAATATAACGACTGATTGTATAAAAGTTTGATTTGTTCGTACAATCCTGACATCGTATCCTTTTCTTCATAAATCTTGTGTACACAATTATTTTTAAAATATTACCTCAAGTGTTTAATTAATTATCAATTTAATTCAATTTAATTTTAATCATAACGATTGCATATTTATTTCGATAAAGAAGAGAAATTATTAGTATCTATTGAAGATACATTTAGACATATTCCTTCGAAATAAACACATGTTAGTATGTACTTATTCTAAAATATTGACAAGCATACTCAAAGACGCTCAGAGGATAAAATTGGATAAAATCGTATTAAATGTTAGTAACTGTAAAAGTGATAATATATATAGATTTAATGAACGTAGCATGAGTATAATAAATCCATATAGATTTCGATATCTTATATTACTGAATAAACTCTCCTAGATTTTTCCCCATAACGAAGAGTTCAAAATTGAAGAGACTGAAAACTTGACAAAAGTAGTATATAACTACTGTATATGACTCCAATGCCCTATCCAATCATGTATCAATAACATAACACCCCTTCTTTTCTCGTTTCTTTTTCAAATATATTACTATTTATGTAGAATTATTTATTAGAATAAAAGTAAAAGGCAAAACCAAAATCAATAAACCTTATTAACAGATTAACGATTTGTCGTTTATAGATTATAGTGATTTTTGAGTTTCAAATAGGTTATCAAAAAGAAGCGGCGATTCAAATAGTTGTAACACTTCAAAATCTACTAAAAATATGATATTCAAATATATATATATTTATATATATTAATTTTAAAGGAAAATTTATAATGCGTAATAAATGAATATTTAACAGATGCATTAATACATTCATTAAGATATTCACAGTTTTTAAATTTAGGCTAATTTTAAATGAAAGGATTATTAATTGTATTAAATAATTTTATATTTAACAAATTACTATGTTAATATTAAAAAATAGTTAAATACACAGATAATATAATTTTCTCCAAAAACTTATATGTATTTTTGAAATGTGAATTCTAGCTTTAGATTTTTTCGCCATTATCTTATGATAAAAATTCGACATCGTAATCTATAAAACGTAATACGCATGCGCATGGAAAATCAGCAGTATCCAAAGTTATATAGAAAAGAGGTGAGCAATAGTGAGGTGCAAGTAAGAATCGAGTGGAGTCGACTATTCGCGAGCAGTTGTATTGGTTGTACTTGTGCTTACATTAGTTCGATGTGGGCTGGGAGTAGTACGTAGTGTATCTGTATCTTTTCATAGGTTACCATTTATGGTAATCTAAATTGCAAGAAAGTATCTTTTTATTTTGTGATGTTTTAGAACTAGATTGAAAACAACATCTATTAAGTAAGCACTGAACAGTAAATTTTATTTTTTTTTATATAAATGATAGTTTGACAACTTGTTATAGTTCTTTAAACGATTTTATTTTAAACTATAACTATTATAAACCGACGATATCTCGATATAAGAATAAAAAGTGAATAACACAATTGTCAAGAAACAGACACGTTTTATATTTACACAGGAAATTATAACTATAAGTAGAAAGATTATAAATCAATGTTATCGAATTCGACGTATAGGAATATACGGAATATCTCCCTTCTTCCTTTTATTTCTCTTTTATGCTGGTAAAAGTAATTTTTCTTTTGTTTTTTACAGTGCAGATTTATTATTCTTAATATTTGTTATTCTTATATTCTATCTCATGGTTAATGATTAGAAGAATGCTTATTTAATTTAAATAATTTATTCTATATAAAAATCCATTTTTCTTTATTTATATTTATGAAAATTCAATTTTCTATTATTTATAAGAGAAATGATTTCTTTTTTTATGACATCTTATTATATTTAAAAAAATTTTAATTATCTAATATATATATATATTATAAATTATCATATATCTCATAAAATATTTTATCATATTTTGACCAAACCAATTACAGAGAACTTATACTGAGTCATACAGGAGACACTGACTCAATGGGT